GACAACAAAGTTCGTGATACGCTTTTGGGAACGCATCTTGATGAATATTTCAATAGAATTGGCTTTATCAGATATGATAACCAAAGGGGTTATATCCTTAATACATTCTTTCATCTTGGATAAAAAAAACATATCCAAGATTCCCCACTTTCTTTCCTTTTTCAATGTCAAATGTTATTGGAAGAATTTGGTTATTACCACCCATGGCTATTATTAGGAACAAAATTCTCATGTATTTTCTTTTTAGGTGTGCTCCATCAATGATAATAATATGACACGAACATGTTTGAAAAGCTCGAATCTACACAATAATATAATAGTAATTAGATCCAATATATGTATAACAAGTACAAAAAATATACATAAGAAATAATACCATGCAACCGATGGCGGACAAAAATTATTCAAATTTGTTATTGTTATCTGTCTTTATCAGTGTAACGATCCCTTGATTCTTCATCTTTAAATTGTAACAATATAAAGAAAGTCTTTGAAAGCTTTCTTCAGGGGTCCCTCTTAACAAATTTAGAGCATATATTTTTGCACTCCATGCTTGCCAATAGGAAATATGCACACTAATACAGTCATTTACAATTCGTTGAATTTGTTTTCCCCGCAACATATTACATGTACTGTCAGCTAATATGTCCTTCAAGAAGTGACCCAACACTTTTTTGTTGGTTTGGCGATGACAAGGACGGAGTTGTGTGTTTGAGTAAGTGTCAGTTTTCGATAGTTTATTGACTTGAAATGATTTAGTCTCTTTATCTTTTATAGCTTGTAACCGCCATTTACAATTTTTCACAAAGCAAACAGCTTTACACTTGTCTTTTGTAGATTTTCTCACTCTCATTTGAAAACCCTCATTAACACATGTGAAACCCAAATTAAGATTAAGCTCTTCTTTGCTTTTAAATAGTTGAAAGAGCTTCACATACGAAGAATGATTGTGGGCTATAGAAACTTTACGTTTTTCATATGATAATTCAGGCAATGGTAAGGGTTCAGGCATACCATAATGAATGGTTTTTGTTTCTTTAAAATCTGAAAAATAATAAGGGAACTTTTCTTATTAGACTTTTTGGGGCTCAGTTTTATCCTCTTCGGATTCAATCTCATCCCCAACAAATTTAGTGAAACTCTTAAATTGTTCCACTGGGTATCTATGTGGAATTATATTACCATCATCAACCAATATCGTTAGTTTTACCTGATCAATTGTATATTTATCAACATAAAATGTTGGACCGACATCAGCAAAAACCTTACCTTTGTACCTAACATCGTCCCTTTTCTACAAGCTCATTGTAAGAAGGAACATGATTCAATGTCATAAGTAATAAATTACAAATTTGGTTATTTCCAGCACCGGAAGATCCATTGTCGCGTTCCATAACATTATTAACAACAAACATATGTATTGTGTTAGGAGGCGTACTACTAACAAAACTAAGAAAATATGTAACATCACTATCGTCAAGAAATCTGCATAACTATGTTTGATCTAGGACATTGAAAAGATAGACATATTTTATTAGTATATAATCTGGACTTCGAAGCAACAAACGTAATTAATCTAGAAAAGTTGATAACAATTTTTAATATATACCAAAACATGTGTAGTATAAAACAATATACTACATATATCCTTCAATTTACATCCATTGTCATCCACTAGAAACATGTATTCTAAAAACGGCTTATACAAACTTATTTTTAGTATCCCAAATGCAGCAACAATGGCAATAGAAATACCTTAATATTATCACTCTGAAATGTCAGACATTCCAGAGAAGAGATTCAGAATGCACTTTTTCAATCCGGAACGTGCGGTTGTCAAATTCCGGACAAATCTTCGTCCAACCACCGCCAACTCCGGAACGATCTTAACTACTCCGGAATACAGTATTCCGAACTATGTGATCATTTTTCAAAAACTTTAAAAAAGTGATTATTTTCTATAAATAACTCATTTATAAAGTTAGTTTACTCAATTTTCCAAACTTATTCTATATGAATTAGATAAACGTTTAGATGTTCTAAGATTTAACAAACATAACTCATACAAAAATAAATATATTACAAATTTCAAACATAAAACATGTTTAAACTATTTCATTTACCTTCTTGTTTATACATTAGAACTTAACTTTAATAATCCCAAAAACATCATAAAGTAATTAGAAAAACAAAACAGTATTTGTTTTCATGTGATTGTCATCTCAACTTTCTCTTTTTCGGCCGATACTGGTTCATTACACTAAATGAGATTTACCACACGTAATCTTTTTTTCGCATATATTAGAAGACTATTTCCATGATTCAAACCTTCACACCAACGTAATTTGCCAATCGGGAAAAGGGGAATTAAAACCATGAGGTTTACTTTACTATATATGGGGATGCCGTTAGATATTATCGAAGTTAAATGCTTTTTAGGATATCATAAATAATTAAGAGACGTATCAAGTTTGCGCATATTCTTGAAAAGTTCAACAATTACCATTTGAGCCAAAGTACACTGACAACACTATCGACTTTTGAGAGAAATAATGAGATAAAAAGGTGTAGAATTGTTTAGCATTTATATGAAAAAATAGAAAAAAATGTAATAGTTAAAAACTTAAATGTAAGAAAAGTAGTTTGATTCAAAAACAATATGTTTTAGATGGTTTTATTATTATAAATTATTGCAGTATAACAAAAAGGTGTTTACAAATAAGAAATAGAATATAAATTTTGTCTATTTATTTATTATAGCATCTTGTTAGGCTAACTTTTTATTTAATTATAACTTATGTGAAGTTTGGTTTGCTGGAATTAGAGCCGACAAAAATCGATCCAACCTGCTAATCCAACTCGAATCCAACCTAAATTTAGCGGGTTGGGTCGAGATTTTCAACTCATTTAAGTTAAATGAGTTAACCCATTTAATTAAATAGGTTGAGTTGGATAAAAATTATCAATCTGTTTTTAACCTGCCAACTCATTTAACTTTAATATATATTTAATTTAATAATTATTTGAATATTATCATGTATTAATCAAAGTATTAATTTATAAATTATAATGTTGTTTTATTATTTATGTTTAAAAAAATTACAAACCTAATTCTTATCCTTTTTTTCTTAACACCAACAATACTAGCCATTTTCCAAAATCACTTTGAAATTAAACATTTTTAATGTTATTTTAACAATTTATATGTATTTTTGCATTAGAATTGTGCTTTTGTCATACTTTAAAACTTTATTTACGTTTGGAACTAATTTAAGTGGTGTAATCTTTATTTAATTTATTTATTTAAATAGGTTAACCAAGGTTTAACCAATTTATGTGGTAGGTTGAGTCGGAACTAAATAAACAGGTCAACCCAGTGATAACCAATTTATGTAAAAGGTTGAGTTGGGTTGCAAAATATCAACCAATTTAAATAAACAGGTTGGGTTGGACCTGAACCCAACCCAGGTCGACCCATTGACACTTCAACCCAATTAATAAATGGGTTGAACCTGAACCCAACCCAGGTCGACCCATTGACAGTTCTAGCTGGAATCCATGGGAATTAGAAGGAATTGGAATCTAATTTCATCATTTTCCTTTGTTTGGTTCAAGCTTTCAAAATGAATTGGATTCCTAAATGAGTCAAATTTTTCTTCCAACGAGGGAAAATAAATTCCATCCAAAAACGTAAGGAATTAAAATTCATTTCAAGTGAGAATGTTGAATGTTACCATATTACCCATTTTACTTTTAACACTACATATGAAACCCCTTTGTCGCAACCACCACCTCCACCACCACCTACACCGCCACCCACCATCACCACCATCGGTACCTCCGCTACCACTACCCTCCACCCACTAGCACCATCACATCCACACCACCGCTACCCACCACCATCACCGTCACCATCACTCGCCACCAACCACCATCACCGTCACCATCACTCGCCACCTCCACCACCGTCATGACCTCTACCACCACACTACCTTCCACCTCCACCACCACTCACCACCGCGACCATACCATCACTGCCACCACCACCGTCATCACCTCTGCCACTACCCACCATCACCTATGTCGCCATCATCACCACTATTGTCACCGTCAATATCACTGCCAACATCACCATTATATACTAATTTTATAATTTATATAATATATTTTTATATATAAGTTATAAAACAAAGTAAAAATAAGCAAAAAAATGCAATTTTGTCATTTTATATTTTTTCAGTTCCATTTTCTGCTAACCAAACATAATATTAGATTTGGATTCAAATTTCATTCCTGCCAACCAAACAGAATATGGAATTTGATTGCAATTCCTGATATATTCCAATTCCTTTAATAAATTTCAATTCCTTCAAAAACATTCTGCAAACCAAATGCCACCTTAAAAGTGGAAACTATGTTTCATTTGTGTAAAAAAGTTTAGAAAAAATATAGATTTAATCTTTTAAGATATATAAAATAATATAAAAATTAAAAGCTAAAAACTAAAATCCCTAAAATCTTTAGAAAAAAACATGTTAAGTCATATACCCATAAAATACAATATTATAATAAAAAAAATAAATAAAAAGTTAAATACAAGCACATTGTTTAGTGGGACTTTTGGTAACCTTTTAATTTTCAATTAAAAGCCAAACTTTTAATTTTTCGAAGTCAAATTGTTTGATATCTTTTTAATTTTTGTCTCTTAATTATTCAGTGTCCTTTTAATTTTTAATAGAAAGAGTTCTGAACAGTTTTGGAAATACCTTAATTTTTTAGCAAACTATTTTACCTTTTCTCTTTCTACGATGACAAGACTTTCTCCACTGGACTCTCCGACTTCTTAAAAATCTCCTACTTCTTAAAAATTCAGACCCTATCTAACAGGCTTAATACAAAATCCAAAAAATAATACTTTTAACTTTTATATATATATATATATATATATATATATATATATATATATATATATATATATATATATGTTCGGCTTTTTTTCTGAAAATATTCCATTCACCCAGTTTTTAAATCATGAGAACACAGCCTTAATGGTAGATGACTATCTCCGTACGTACTTTCTTATATATATATAACATCAATCACAAAAGTGTTATATAGTTTAGAACCTCTCTCCAAGTCGATATCAGAAGAAGCAGACCATTCATTCATTCCGGTGAAGAACAGTCGGATGCTTTCTGAAGACATGTTCATCTCCACCAACATATCAGGTTGGTGTTGTTAATTAGAATCCTACTAATTAATACAGACAACGTAACGGTGTTTGTGTAAAATAACTCAAAACTATGCTCATATTCAAGATGAACTTATGAGGTTTTTGTAAACTATACGTAACTATGTTTTTTTTTATTAAGAAAAGTGCAGTGTTGATGTTCATTTTTCTTGATATTACCTCTAACGTACATCTTTGGTCCTTTCTTTGTAATTTCTTTTGGGAAGACATATATAGGAGGAAAAAGGAGATTTGAAGTCCGTGACACTTGAATTATTATCATCCACACAATGAAATCAGATACCATCAAAAACTGATTGATTGATGAATTTTTTTTGTTTTATATATAAATGTGATATAGTTGACAAGCTCTCTCCAAGTTGATACATGAAATATTTGTCTGTACAAGTGAAGAACTGTTCAAGGTGTGGAGGTAAACTGTGGTTTGAATGCTTTCTAAAGCTATGGAGGTCATAAAAGGTTAGTTCTATATTTTAACAGCTCCATGGTAATTTTAAGATTATCGATGAACATATCTTTAACTTGGGCTCATTTATTTATATTAAAAGTCTTGAATTTGACTTAGAGATGACTGGTTTTTCAAGGATAAATAACATAGTTCTTGATATATACTATGTTAATTGTTTGTGGAAACCTATGCATTTCATTTTGGAATATCGGAACAACATTGATACATCAAGATAGATTTTACAATTTTTTTATATTTTTAGAATGTCTTTTAATATTTTAAAAAGTGGATGTGATTGTGCTCGGTGATTAGAAAGGAAAGTCGACTGCGGTTTTCCTTATGAGTGGAAGATAGAGGTGGCAAAAAGGATAGTGGAGAGGTGTTGGGTACTGACTCAATCGGGTGCTAAGCCTTTTTGTCAAAGATTTTTTTGTCAATTTTTAATATTGTATATAATTAAAATGTTAGTGTTTTAATTCGCTTTAGATGGCATTTCACTTGTTTTCTTTTTGCCTCATTTATTTATATTTTTTAGACCACTTAGAATAAATATAACCCAAATCGACCATTTTCACAAGTAATGAGTAAAAATTGACTCGAATAAATGGCCATTGCTGTTTCATTTGGAGTCAACAGGGTCAAACTAGATGCTAGTGCGAAAGGGTCAAAATATTTATGGTGTGTTGCCTTGGAGATTTTGTGCTGTTAGCTTTAAAACTACTGAAAAAGAAAATATATTTTTGTCTTGCATGGTTTTTAAATTTTATTTTAAACAAAAAAAATTTAATTTAAAAAAAAATTTCAAGTAGTTTTTAAGTGCTTTTGACCTTTTAGCTTTTAGTTTTATATAAATTTACAATTTTAAAAGCTAAAAAACTAATTTTATCCAAACAATTTTACATTACATTGTCTAATTACCAATTAAATTACACCAACTAGTTTTTTCCTCCCTTGAAATATTCTAAAAAGTGATACATATTTTTTCTCATCTAGAGTAAATAAGTGTATGTCCTAACGTAAATTATATAAAACGTATGGCAAAATCGTTTGATTTATAAATTTCAAAAATAACTGGATTGACTATAAAGAAAGCTTAAATCGTCATACTCATAGGCACAACAAAATGTCAACTTTGACATATAAACCTTATGTTTACTAAAACAACAAATAATTATCATTTCATCAACAAATTACACCAAAACCTTCGTCTATACATAAACTTGTTATGCCATATAATCTTGTCACCTATCACTTATTGTAACACCAAGAAATTCATACCAAATTCAAAGTTAAAATTTCAAAAGTTGACCAAAATAGTTGAATGATTTTTTGTTACATAACACACAGGTTTGAAGCTATCTGAATTTTGGGAACCATGGCTGCAGCCAGGCTCACCATGTTTGTGGGAAACTTCAAGTATTATTCTCCAACTTGGGTTCCTTGCGGTCTTGTTAATCGGTCTTTTAAAGAGACTCATCGAGCCATCACGGTGCACCCACGAACCGAAAGCCAAGACCCGCGAACCGAACCCAACCAACATCAAAATCGGCCTCTCATACAAACTAAGTCTAGCATGTTCCATACTCTTACTTGCAACACATATTATGATCCCAATAACCTTCAAAACTAGAAGCAAAGCACATTGCAAATATGGAATCCCTATTCTATCCTCCGAAATCATGCAAATTGTTTCATGGGTCATGACATTGATCGCGTTATATGTCGTCCCAAAACATAAACATGTTAATTTCCCATGGATTCTAAGAGTCTGGTGGCTATGTACTTTCTTGTTAACGGCTTCACGGATAACTCTTGATGTTCATTTTCTAGTTTTGAATCATATTAACCCGGGATTACTCGAATACATTGATTTAATCAGTGTTCTATCGTCTACTTGTTTGTTGTTTCTTGCGATTAGAGGGAAAACGGGCATAACTGTAGCTAACCCAAGTAGCATCACTGAGCCATTACTAAATGAAAACAACGATACAAAACAAGAAAAAAGAGAATGCCCATATGGAAAAGCTTCGATCTTTCAACTTGTTACATTTTCTTGGATCAACCCTTTGTTTGTTGCCGGAAACAAGAAACCACTCGACCAAGATGAAGTCCCGGATGTCGATTTCATAGATTCCGGTAGTTTTACCTCTGAATCCTTCGACAAATGCTTAGCACAAAACCCATCAATTTACAAAGCGATTTATCGTTTTACAAGAAAGAAAGTAGCAATCAATGCCCTTTTCGCTATTACAAGTGCTGCTGCATCGTATGTTGGGCCATATCTCATCAGTGATTTCGTGAATTTTCTAAACGAAAAGAAAACCAGAAGTTTAACCAGCGGATACCTTATCGTGTTAGGGTTCTTGGGTGCGAAATTTATTGAGACACTAACACAACGACAATGGATCTTTGGTGCTCGTCAACTCGGACTCCGACTCAGGGCTGCTTTGATCTCTCACATTTACAAAAAAGGGCTTGTGTTATCGAGCCGATCATGTCAAAGCCACACAAGTGGCGAGATCATCAACATCATGAGCGTTGACATTCAACGAATAACAGATTTCATGTGGTACATTAACACACTCTTCATGTTGCCGATTCAAATCACGTTAGCGATGTTTGTCCTTCATATAAATCTTGGAAACGGAGCATTTATCGGATTAGCAGCAACGATAGTGTTAATGTCCGGGAACATACCTTTAACTCGAGTTCAGAAAAGGTATCAGTCGAAGATCATGGAGTCAAAAGATGCGAGAATGAAGTCGACTTCAGAGGTTTTACGTAACATAAAGACGCTAAAACTTCAAGCATGGGACACCCATTATCTTCAAAAACTCGAAAGTTTCAGGAAAGTCGAATACGATTGGTTATGGAGATCAATGAAACTGAATGCTCTTGCAGCTTTTGTCTTCTGGGGTGCGCCAATTTTCATATCGGTGATGACTTTTGGAGGTTGTGTTTTAATGGGTATCCCTCTCACGTCCGGCCGAGTTCTATCTGCATTAGCTACATTCAGAATGTTACAAGATCCGATCTTTAATCTTCCCGATCTTCTAAACGTAATCGCACAAGGGAAAGTATCTGCAGATCGGGTGGCTTCTTATCTCCGGGAAGAAGAGATTGAACCCAATACAGTCGAGTTTGTTCCAAGAAATCTCACAGAATTTGACGTCCAAATCGAAAACGGAAGATTCAGCTGGGATCCCGATTCAAGAACTGCAAATCTTGATCAAATTCAGCTTCACGTCAAACGAGGAATGAAGGTGGCGATATGTGGAACTGTCGGCGCCGGAAAATCTAGCCTCCTGTCATGCATACTCGGTGAGATGCCAAAGTTATCGGGAACTGTGAAGATAAGTGGTACTAAAGCTTACGTTCCTCAATCTGCATGGATTTTAACGGGGAATGTTCGAGAGAATATTTTGTTTGGGAATGATTACGATAGAACGAGATATGAGAAGACTGTTAAAGCATGTGCTTTGACTAAAGATTTTGAGCTTTTTTCCACCGGAGATTTGACGGAGATTGGGGAAAGAGGGATAAACATGAGCGGAGGTCAAAAGCAAAGGATTCAGATTGCTCGTGCTGTGTATGATGATGCTGATATTTATCTGCTTGACGATCCGTTTAGCGCCGTTGATGCACATACAGGAACTGAACTCTTTCAGGTTTGAAAAATCTTTTAGATTTTCAATTCTTTAATGTTTATGATTCAGAATATATAGAACCACAATGATTATTTGTTTGCTACGTAACAAAATAAAAGTGCAAGCTAGGCATTTTATGATTTTATCATCTTTTTGCCATGTTCCATAGTTTTTCATGTGTCGCTAACCTTTTTTTAATCAAGTCTCGTTAATTATGTCTTCAATATGAACAATTTTTCTTGACGATTTTACTCTGTCGCTAAATCTGTTGATTCATTATTTTTGTTATTATAGAAATGCCTTCTTGGAATGCTCAAGGAAAAGACTGTGCTCTATGTTACACACCAAGTCGAGTTTCTTCCAGCCGCAGATCTCATTCTGGTAAGCCAATTTTTATTTTTTTTAATATTATCTTCAATTTCATGACAAATTCAAAAACAGGTTATGCAAAATGGAAGAATTGCTCAAGTTGGAACTTTCAAAGAACTTTTAAAACAAAACATAGGATTCGAAGTTCTAGTTGGAGCTCATAACCACGCTCTAGAATCAGTCCTAGCAGTTGAAAACTCAAGTCGAGAATCCGAGCAAACACAAACCGATGAAGAACCAACTTTAATCACAGAACTCGCACAAACTCGGCAAGATTCAGACCATAGTTTATGTGTAGAAATGTCAAAAAAGGAAGGGAAACTGATTCATGAAGAAGAAAGAGAAAAAGGAAGCATCGGGAAAGAAGTTTACTGGTCTTATTTGACTTTAGTAAAAGGTGGTGTTTTAGTTCCGATCATACTTTTAGCTCAGTCTTCCTTTCAGACTCTACAGATTGCTAGTAATTACTGGATGGCATGGGCATGTCCGACTGATTCAAGTGATGAGATAATCAATGGAATGGGATTCATTTTACTTGTTTATACACTTTTAGCAGTGGGAAGTGCTTTCTGTGTACTTCTTCGAGCCTCACTTGTTGCTATAGCGGGACTTTCCACTTCTGAAAAGCTTTTCAACAAGATGCTACATAGCGTTTTACGTGCGCCTTTGTCCTTCTTCGACTCCACCCCAACTGGCAGAATCTTGAATCGAGTGAGTAAATTTAAATTAAAGATTTTTTAGGGTTTCAAGTTTTTCGTGTTAAACTAAATTAAATATGCAGGCATCCACGGATCAAAGTGTGTTAGATTTAGAAATGGCAAATCGAATAGGATGGTGTGCGTTTTCAACAATTCAGCTTCTGGGAACAATGGCAGTCATGTCACAGGTTGCATGGCAAGTGTTCGCCATTCTTATTCCCGTGACAGGTGTCTGCATATGGTATCAGGTAAGAATCTACATTAAAAGTTCGCGTGTTTCCAAAATCAAAAGTCTAACACTTTTTTTTTTTACAAATCGATGTTTTCATGATTAATTTCAGCGATATTACATACCAACTGCAAGAGAATTAGCACGATTAGCAGGCATAGAAAGAGCCCCAATTCTTCATCATTTTGCAGAGTCTCTCACTGGTGCAGCAACAATCCGTGCTTTCCATCAACAAGATCGGTTTATTGAGAAAAATCTTTATTTGATTGATAACCACTCGAGACCATGGTTTCATAATGTGGCAGCAATCGAGTGGCTTTGTTTCAGATTGAACCAGTTATCAAATTTCGTCTTTGCGTTCTCACTTATTCTCCTTGTTACTCTTCCTGATGGAATCATTAATCCAAGTGAGTTCATAATTTCAGTATTACAGAATAATCCGTTACTAGCGTCACCAAAACCCCTGTTGACACATTTTGGGAAAGTTCCACCCCCAAATTACACCCATACTCTACAAATTAAATCTCAAGTAAACAAAATTACGAAAGTTGAATCGAATGTGTGTTTTTTCTCATGGCAGGTATTGCAGGATTAGCAGTGACTTATGGGATCAATCTAAATGTTCAGCAAGCTTCTGTTATATGGAATATATGCAATGCAGAAAACAAAATGATCTCAGTGGAAAGAGTGTTGCAATATTCAAATCTTACCAGTGAAGCGCCTCTTGTGATTGAGGATTCTCGACCCTCAAGCCAATGGCCACAAAACGGAACAATTTCTTTCACGAATTTGCAGGTATAAATAATTAAGCTTCTTCAATTCTGCAAATTCGAAATCAAGATAAACTAAAAGAAAACCGAAATTGTGTCATTTTTTTTATGCAGATTCGATACGCAGATCATCTCCCTTCTGTCTTGAAAAACATTACCTGCACATTTCCAGGAAAGAAGAAAGTTGGAGTTGTTGGAAGAACAGGAAGTGGAAAGTCAACTCTTATACAAGCAATTTTTAGAGTTATAGAGCCTACAGAAGGTTTTATCACGATAGATGGTGTAGATATATGCAAGATAGGCCTTCATGACTTGAGATCAAGACTTAGCATTATTCCTCAAGATCCCACCATGTTTGAAGGAACAGTTAGAGGAAACCTCGACCCCCTAGACCAGTATCCCGATGTGGAAATTTGGGAGGTAATTGTTATGAAAGGGTATAATAGTCATTTTCATGTAACCCTAATTAAGGTCCGAAAATTTGTTATTTCATTTCAGGCTTTGGATAAATGTCAACTTGGCGATATAGTTCGTGGGAAAGAAGAGAAACTTGAATCTCCAGGTGAGATATTATTTTGGATTTTACATAAAATAAACAGATACATGAAATTATGTTTGCGATTTCTTGCATTTAGAAATTAAAAAAAAAAAAAAGTAATTGGATTTTGTAGTGGTTGAGGGGGGAGAAAACTGGAGTGTTGGGCAAAGGCAATTGTTTTGTCTTGGTAGAGCATTACTGAAGAAAAGCAGTATTCTTGTTCTTGATGAAGCAACAGCATCCATTGATTCGGCTACTGATGGAATTTTACAGCAGATTATTACCCATGAATTTAAGGATCGAACAATTGTCACAATAGCCCACAGAATCCATACTGTCATAGATAGCGATCTGGTTTTGGTTCTTAGTGATGGTAAGCATCATCACATACTCCTTTCTCATAAACTTTGACTTTTTAAAGTCAAAGATTTTAATTCGACATGAATTAATGTTTCACGTTTTTCAAGGAAAGAAATGGGAAAAATTAAAGTTTATAAAAATAGTATACAAGTAGGGTTACATTTTGATTTCAAAGTTTATAAAAAATAAACGTTGACTTTCAAAGTCATTGAGACTACTTGTAAACTTTAAATTGGAAATGAATGTTTCTTGACTTGTTACGATTTTGATAAAAATTTGTGAAGCAATTGTTTTTGGATTTTGGATTTCAAAAGTCAAAAGTTTGAATCTCTTAAACAAATGGAAACTTAACTTAACTACTTAAATATGGCCTTGAAACAGGAAAAATAGCGGAGTATGACACGCCATCAAAGCTATTAGAAAGAGAAAACTCATTCTTCTCAAGACTCATTAAGGAGTACTCAATGAGGTCAAATTTCGACACTTTTGTGAGCTAATTTGATTGAAGATATGTTTCTATATGTAGTTCATTCGAGCCGAGAGTATTCTTATCAAATAAATTGAAATGGACAAATGTACCCTTGGAATTCTTCATGTTGTAGATCAGCTGTATCAACCCTAGATTTGCCTTAAAAAATGCAAGGAGAATGTTTGATGAGTCCGAAAAGATCGAGTAAAATGTATCGACAATTCTTTATAAATTATTGAAGGTAGTCGAATTTGGTACAAAACTAGATTCAATGTTTAAGTATCTATGTGTTTCAACATTTTGGTTGACAATATGTTAGATAAATATACAAGTTCCACAAAGAGTACCCAATATATATAGGAGTGTTAAGGGAGACTGTAAATCAGGTACATAGTTCTTGATATGTTGCAAACTACACTATTTTCACAACTTATATATCAAGTAATTGATATGTTGGATTATTTATATTTGAAGTTTTGTCAAAAACATGGCATATAGTATCTTACAAATATCAGAAAAAAAAAAATGGAGTCACGCTTTAAGAGAACGAGTAATTATAGACATAAAAAGAATCAAGTGGAATGTTCCTATTAGTATTTATATTTCTACAATTAGTCCAAATTCACATACAAAATGGTTGGTTTGAAACGAAAACCAAGTAATGATGGTAAATTACATCACTTTATATATTTAAATCAAATATAATACTTATAAAAAGCACTAATGTCATAGAATAACAAGGTACTTAGGGTTAAAAATCTCATTTATAATTACAACATGGAAGTTTGAATCTGCAAAATGGATTAGATTTGTACAAGGGATGGGAGTTGAGGGTAACTTAGTCAATTCCGAGGCCAGAGAAGTGTTCATAGCCTCCCTGTACACAAAACATACAATATAAACAAATTAGTAATACTCCCAAATTTTGTCAAATTGTTTTTCTTTTTGAAAAAAAATGTTTAGACAATTCAGGTGTTTTTTAGGGTTATATGCAAGAAAAAAAAAAGTAAATAAAAAAGGGTCTTACAGAGTAGTCATCATGCACACGCCATATGCTTTCACCAAGTAAGTTTGCTACAGATAAAACAGTGAGCTGTGGAAAATAATTCTTTTCTGAAACTGGAACAGTATTTGTGATAATCACTTCTTGAAAAAGCCCACTTGACAACCTTTCAATCGCTGGTGGACTGCATATCAACAATTTAATAATAAAATATTAAACCTCAAAAATGAAAAAAAGAAAAAAAAAATTCATGACACAAATTATGAAAAGTGATGGACCTAAAAACAGCATGTGTGCAGCATGCATAAACTTCTCTTGCCCCTTCATGATGCAATAAGGCTGCACCTTTCGATATAGTACCTATAAATAAATAAAATCCACAAATAATTTTTAAACTAAATATATAAAGTTTCAATAACACTAAGGCTATGTTTGGCGTACTAGCTGAAAAGCTAGCTGTTAGCTGAAAAGCTAGCTGTTAAATAAAAAACTATCTGATAGCTGAAAAGCTAGCTGATAAAAAATAACGTTTGGTAAAACTAGCTGAAAAACTAGATGAAATATATAAAATTACATAAAAGGACATGTAGGAGTATGTGTTTCTATAATTAATTAAGGGGTGTATTTGGAAAATTTTAAAAAAGCTAGTCTAAGTAGCTTTTCAAAAAGCTAGCTTAAAAGCTACTTTTTGGCTTACCAAACACGACAACATAAAAAAGCTCGAAAAATAAGCTAGCTTATCAGCTAGCTGTGGCGCGCCAAACACAGCCTAAATTAGAGCATTTGTTTTTTTTTTTTGGAAGGAATGGAATCTATCAATATATATAAGGAGGGTATTTTAGTCTTTTAATAAAATAATCCATCTCCACTCCATACCAGCAGTGTCGATCATGTCATCCACCATAACTGCTACTTTACCCTTTACATCACCAATCAAATTCATTACCTGCAAGCCCATAGATACAACTTTTATATAATGGGTATTTTCGTCTTTTTAACAAATTAGGGATGAAATTAAAATCCAGTTCCCTTCCAAACTTGGAAGGAATGATAACCAAAATCTCCATGGAATGGAACATTTACATTTTACATTATATGATGTTTGGCAACAAAACATGAGGTTTTTTTATTCAAGGTCAATTTTGTAATTTGAGAAGCAATAAAAAAAAATTACTTCTGCCACATTGTGGCCATGACGCCGCTTATCAACAATGGCCAAAGGTGCATCTGATAATTTTTTGGCAAAAGCTCTTGCTCTAGCAACTCCACCAACATCAGGTGACACCACTACTAAATCATCAGTTTTAATTGTCTTGCTTGCAAGGTAATCAAGTATCACAGGCTGCTTATCCCAAAAAAAAAAATCTCAAAATGTAGTTTCATTGTAAAAAAAAATAAAGAATTAGAAAAGTAGTCTGATTACCTGACCATGTACATGATCAACTGGAATGTCAAAATAGCCCATTGATTGCCCAGAGTGAAGATCACAAGCAAGAACTCGATCTGCTCCTGCTTCTGTTATCAGATTTGCAACAAGTTTAGCTGCAATGGATTCACGTCCTTGAGTCTGATCCATCAATTGCAGATATATGTTAAACTTATAGTTAAATGATATATATATATATATATATATATATATATCCTTTAAATTTACACTTGAATTCATAATGCAAAGTTACCTTTCGATCAGCTCTTGCATATCCAAAGTATGGAATAACTGCAGTGATAGTTTTTGCAGATGCTCTGCGACATGCATCTATCATAATCAAAAGCTCCATAAGATTCTCATTTGCAGGAGGACATGTTGGTTGCACAAGATACACATCACACCCTCTAACACTCTCACGTAACTGAACATATATCTCTCCATCAGCAAAACGTTTTATATCAATCTTTCCAAGATCCAAACCCATGTAACATGCAACTTCCTATCAAATACAACAAAACTCAATCAACATTACATAATAGGCAACATATACATTGGGACAATGACCAAATTGTACCTCAGATAATAAAGGATTGGCAGTGCCTGAAAAGATCCGAAGTCTGTTGTCATCTTTTTTTGTTGGAATTCTCTCGAATTGATTCAAATTCAAGAAATTAGGCATTGTTTCTTGCTCATTGGTGAGGATTTGTGTATTCAACCTCCCGTTTTCTTTAAAATTGACCCTGCAACTCTGCTTCCATGACACTAGAGTTATGTATGGTTACATATTTGTCTATCACATACACAATAACTTATGCATCCATATAACATTGTGCAATCATTAGTTAACACGCATGCTACTATTTGTATGTTACAGTGATGAGTTCATTGCTCATGAAAAAATCTAATAGTTCCATTCTTCATGATTTATTATCTCCTATCTATACAGGACTATTTTGAATCAGATAACATTTCTTTAAGTGAATCAACAGATGGGAACTAGAATTCTTCTGTGTGTCCATATATATAGAAACACAGACATAAAATTCTTCTGTGTGTCCATATATATAGAAACACAGATATAAAAATACACACATATCATAGATGCACAGATTTTCAGGTGATCGTGTAATGTCTAGAAGCTAATTGAAGATGTTCATCCTTTCTTCTTCATTTGAAAGAAATGAACTTCTGTAAATAGATTATTAATCCCATTTCTATATAGCACAGATATATACATAACATACACAGATATTTTTAAAAGCTACTGATAAACAAACAAAAATAAACATCCACCGTACACTTAAACGCCAAAAGCAATCTGCACAGTGAAAATACTTGAACGCAACGAATCTTTGTATAGAGTCAACGCAAATTATGAAGTGTTTATACATAGATATGAATCGGAACCAAACTTTGAAGTGTTTACCAAAAGTAAACTGAAGAGACAGTAAAAACTCACAATTAAGCCGTTTCTAGCAGGGATTGCAGAGCTAAATTTGTTCGTAGCTGCGAGATTCGCTGAAGAAAACGCAAGAGAAGCCATCGGCGATTGGCGAGAAACTGATTACACTATCGGTATTATGTGCGTGTTAGAAAGAGCAGCCAGGATTTAGGGTTTTGGAGTATACGTGAGTACTGAGTAGTTAAAGTGGTGGTAAAGGACGTAATTGCGTATAAACAGGACAGTTGCAAAAAGATGTTGGTTATTGGTTAGCCAACGAGGATCTAATGAAAATTTCCACCTTTTCATAAGTGTGTTTGGATAGTTGAAAACTTTAAATTTGATAAAATTCAAGTTTCTTTTACTACATTTTGTGTTTCTTTTGGCTTGGAAATAAAACTACCAAAAAAAAAATGAAATTATTTAAGACTTAATGGCTTAAGCCTCTCATTTAAACCCATAAAAAGGAATGCAATAGAAAACATGTTGTGGGTTGAAAATCGTAATTTTCCTACATCATAGGGTTGAGGTTTGTATCTCGAGTTAGATACAAGAGTCTATTTTACTTTTTCTTTAGACTTTGAGACCTAATTCCAAACCTAAATAGGGTTTAGCATGTCTTTTGTAACACCATGTTTCGGATGTTTCTTAATCTAGGGTTTATGGGTCGTAAATCAATCAAAAAAATGGCTTTAGGCTTTGAGGAAGTAAAGCTTAGATCTTATTGAAGGATGATAATATTGGTCATTCGATCTAAGCTCTTGATTCGTGTGCTGGAACCAAAAGGTAAAATGGGAAAAGTTATATGGCGGGCGTCTTACATGGAATATGGTTTTAGTTTGACATGTGTTAGAATTGTAGGGGTCTTCAATACTTTTCCATGCATATAAAAAACACCAAAAACGAAGTCGAAACGAAGAAGTTATGATTGTTTGAAGTTGAATTGGAAGTTGAGGGTTTTGCCCTACGCAGGGCGTAGATGCTGAATGAGTAACACATTTTTATTGATCTACGCATGGCGTAGGTTTTGCTACATATGGTGTAGCCGTTGTTGACCAAAACTCTAAACATAAGGTTTTGGGCCCTATTTAAGGGCTCTAACTTCTTGGAACCCTTCTCATTACCAACATGCATCACCTCATACCGTTCTTTTGAAACCCTGGGCACCAATGATGAGTTTTGGAAGAACTGGTGTGATTTTTGTGTGCATTCTTGAAGAAGGAGTCCATTGGAGAAGCAAGTGTGAGCTCCAAGCTTTGTATATCCAGACTTTGCACTTCATCACCTATCTCCTGAATGTATAAAACTTTCATCTTGATGTTCATTTTGTTAGATCTAATTAGTTCATGGTTGTCTATGCTTTTTGTCCATAATCTTGGTCCTTGTGAGTATGGGTTACTCCAGACCATTTGAATGCTTCCCTCTGATGTTTTTGAGGATATAGAATCATAAAAATGAGAGCTTGGGCACTCTCATCCATCCATGCATGAATTATTGAGCAAAAGGTGTCAATATGGACTTAGAGTTTGATTGCGTGTTCCTCTTGGCCATGCAAAGGGATAAATCCAGTGACTTTATCCATTGAGACATTCATTTAGATCAGATATGGGAGTTTGAGAGTTTGGCTTGTTATACTAAGAGCTTAATAGAAGTTTTTGGATCAGGGGCTCTACGCACGGTGTAGCCTAGGTACGCAGGGCATAGATTAGCTATGCTAGGCGTAAGTCAACTGAGGGTTGACCATTGACTTTTTGACCAGTTTGACTTTTGGTCAACCATGTTGGAACTTGGTATGGGAAGAGCAAAATGGTATTTTTCCCAAAAGAGGTTTAATGGTGAGCCTAAACCTTTCGTGGTCCAGTCATTTCCTTGATTTTTAATTAAGGTTTTATTGCGGCCTATGTTTAGAAAAGGGAGGTTTGATAGCGTCGGCTCGAGTGGGTGGTTTGTCTTGTCTTCAGGGTTGAGTTGAGTCTTCTTACTGTACTCGTGGGTCGAAGGCACCAATTTCGGCCCACTATATTGTGTTATGTAGGATGTTGGTTGTCTTTGTGATACTTGCATGGAAGACCCTGGGGCTAACCTGTGGCATTTATATGAAATATCCTGAGGGTAGCTCATGGCACTTGTGTGTAGGACCTTGGGGTAGCCAATGCACTGCAAAAGAAGACTATGGGGGCAACCCATGGCAATGATATGAAAGACCATGGGGGCAACCCATGGCAATGATATGAAAGACCATGGGGGCAACCCATGGCAATGATATGAAAGACCATGGGAGTAGCCCATGACACTTGTCACAACTAGTGAAACATCCTAGAAATACAACCCAAAAATTCCGTTTTTAAAACATTATTAAAACCATCATTTCACTACCAAAGTATAAAAATCATAAACTATGTGTTTCAAAATCTCATAAGATCTATCACATGTCAAATTTCATGTCAAATATCATATCAAAATATCAGAGTAAAACTCCCAAGCTGAAGACCGTGGTGTGTGCCATGCGATCATCCCGAGCCCTTCCCTTTGCTAGTGGAAGTACCTGAAACCAAAACTGAAAACTGTAAGCACAAAGCTTAGTGAGCTCCCCCAAACTACCACATATCATACAATAACACATAAAGCACATATTGGGCCTTGCCCACTGCATCGGACCGAAGTCCGGAATAACCTGGGCCTTGCCCACTACATCGGACCGAAATCCATAATAACTCGGGCCTTACCCACTACATCTGACCGAAGTTTGGAATAACTCGGGCCTTGCCCACTGCATCGGACCGAAGTCCGGAATAACTCGGGCCTTGCCCACTGCATCGGACCGAAATCTGGAATAACTTAGGCCTTGCCCACTGCATCGGACCGAAGTCTGGAATAACTCGGGCCTTGCCCACTACATCGGACCGAAGTCCGAAATAACTTAACATAACATATACATAAACATGTAACATAAACATATAACTACTGCATCGGGCTTGCCCGGCATCGGACCGAAGTCCGGAACACAAAGCACATAACATAAACATGCATGAATCACAAAGACATTAGGCATACATACTACTTCTCGGGATCACCTAGGCATCAGACCGAAATCCGGAACTACTATATCTAAACGGGCCGGCATTGTGGCCGTAGACTCGTTCCTAAAGGAGGAAACTCACCCCGCACTGCTGAAGACTAGCTAAACACTTATGGCTGCTAACCGGCAACTTCTGAACCGCTGACCCTTCGGCTCCCCGAACTATCAATACCCAAAATAACATTTAGACCAAAATAATCCCAAAAGTCAACCCTGGTCACCTTGGTCAAAGTCAACCTCCAGTTGACTTGACTCGCCGAGTTGGTCTACCAACTCGTCGAGTCCATACTCCTCCAACCCCATACAACCCCGACTCCACTCGTCGAGTTTTAGCAAGGACTCGACGGGTTCTCCTTCAACCATACAATCGGGACCATCTTCATCTGACTCGCCGAGTTCGACCTTGAACTCGCCGAGTTCATCATCCACATAAGAATGTGTCTAGGCTATGACTCGCCGAGTCGCATGAACAACTCGTCGAGTCCATCTTCATAAACTAATGAGATTGCCTTAGACTCGCCGAGTTCCTCCTTGAACTCGTCGAGTACGATGAACTTCATGACCACTATGGACTCAGACTGGATGAGTCCCTAACCATTCAACTCATACCCTTTAACAGAAGGGTTTTGGGGCAATAACTGGCCTGACTTGCCGAGTCCCTCTATGTCCAACTCTATTCAGACGATTTCAGTTAAGCACAAGGCATCCAAGACCCAGATCTAGCCTCCTAGGGTCGGAATACAAACGCAAAGCTAATACCTTTACGTCCATGCATGGCCCTTTTTGCTCAAAAGGCCATAACAAACTCTTAAACTTTGCATGGGGAGTTCTATTGGCATAAAGCTTCCACCTTTATGCCTTAACTACTCCAAATACTCCCAGATCTGAAGGGATCTAGCTTGGGGACGTCCAAATCCCACAAGAAATCATTCTTGGTCCATAATCTTCATAAAAAGGGACATAAAGAGATCTAACAAACTAGAAGTCAAGGAAGGAACTTGATTACCAAAATGAGCAGGAAATGGAGTGAATCTTCTGGATCTACTCCTTCCTCCTTGAACCTCCAACCTTCTTCTTGTTCCTCCAAGCTTCAAGAATGCTCCAAAACTCTCAAAATGACTCACAACTCAAGGGAGGCTCTAGGGTTTTCGTTCTGGACTTGAGAGAGTATCAAGGGGGGCTGATGAAGGCTATAATGTTCCTTAAATAGGGTACAAGGCCCGCATTTAGGGTTTTTCCCCAAACCTGGCCAACTCGCCGAGTCAGTCTTCAGACTCGTCGAGTAGGTCAGTAAACCCGCGAGCAAATCGCGCTCCTACTCGTCGAGTCACCCATCTACTCGACGAGTCACTTCCTCATTTGAGGTTTTTCTTCTCTTTTCCGAACTTCTAAATTCAGGGTGTTACAACTAGCATTTTTAGCTAGGAAATTATGTCCTCATGTAAACATCAACTATTATAAGACTTGTACTAGCACGTTAAAGTTTACATTATGATTTCTAATGAACCATGTATTGTTATAATACAAAGCATCTATGTATCTCAAATCTCTCCCAAATCTCTCTATGTATCTCAAATCTCTCCCAAATCTCTCTATGTATCTCAAATATCTTCCAAATCTCTCTATGTATCTCAAATCTCTCCCAAATCTCTCTATGTATCTCAAATCTCTCCCAAATCTCTCTATGTATCTCAAATCTCTCCCAAATCTCTCTATGTAGTTTCCTTAGTCAAAACCAACTCAAAAAGAAAGGAGAAAACTTGAAAGAGCAGGCCCAGTTCGGAACCCTTAAGTGACTTCGGACCCTCTCACCGGACAATCTCGCATGCTCCGGACCAAACCCTCTCGGAAGACTATCCACTCCAGAATGCCTCGCCTACTCCGGAAGTTTCGCAGCTTCAGACCAGAAGCCTTGTTGCTTCGGAACTCCCGCAGCCTCGAAAGAAAAGGATCCCGGATAGGGGCTGACTTTGCAACCCTCGACTCCAGAAGATGTTGTGCAACCCCGAAATCTTGAGAAGGACTTCGGAACCCATGGTCTGACTCCGGAACTCACCATTTGACTTCGGATTTTGGACCATTTCATACCATTTCATCATTTTAAGGTATTTTGACGTCGGGAATCCCGCCAAACTCGTATCTTTTATAACTTAGACCCCTTAAACCCCTATTTTATGCCAAATTTGAATATTTAAAACATA